GGCGCGACCTTGCAGAGCAAGGCAAACAACTCCTTCAAGGTCTCAGAGCAAGTTACGTCACTAATCGAAACGCTACTAGTTCACACCGCTAACTGGCTACCCATTTCACACCGGTAACACTCACCCCCCTTTGTACTTCCTCCTTTTCCGCAGCAGCCAGTGATCCGGGTACACCAAACTTAACCCCTTATGACACTTATACAGTGGGGAGAACAAGTATTTGATACACCGGTGAGGATCCAATGACAGGAAGGTTAGTGTCCTTGAAACTACAGTCTGTTTTTTTTGGTTCCGCTCCCCACTGTAGGTACTCATATCAAACAATCCTTTCGTGTTTTTTTTAACGATTCTTACTCAACACAAATCAACTTCAAACATACTCCCAGCGGAACCAAAAAAAACAGACTGTAGTTTCAAGGACACTAACTTTCCTGTCATTGGATCCTCACCGGTTCTCTAACCTTCAGGAAACCCTGTCAAAGTCAAGCCTCTCCTTAAAACATAGACTTTTCCACTAAACTCTAAAATAACCTCACGCTCTCCTACCACTCCATGATATGATATGATGGTCGTTGATGTACGGAACCACAATATAATGTTATATCAAAGCTTATTATCCAAATTTATATCAAATTATCAAAACTTCTATAGTTTATTATGCACCCTTCAGATTAAAAGTACTTTCTGCTCTTTGATCCTAAAATAGCCTATGTTGTTCCATTCAATTACTTAACGTCGTTAGCTGACTTTTCGCTCTATCTTTAACCTATCCCATTTAAAAATACCTTCTTGAGGATCCTCATTATCTGTCCATGCTGATAAATCACTTATATACGGTTCCCCATAGAAAATCCAAATTTACTTAACATCCATTCGCACATTGTCTGATTTTCACTACTTTTAAAATATAGTTTTTTTAAATGCGGATTTGTCTGTAATAATTGTGTCATTTCCTTTTTCTCTCTTTGAGGTAGATGAAGCTCTGATTTAATCTCAATGGTGACTGTCTTTCCCGATACCAGTCTACTAAGTTGGCTATCCATTACTTTTATTAGTTCATGCAATATTAGTAATCAAATACTTGAATCAAATCCCCAATTTGATCTTTATTAAAATTTGGTTTGCCTATTTTGTCATTGGTGCCATGATTCAACATGCTCAATTGTATCTGCTCTGATTCTTTATGCAGTATGAGTTATTGTTCTCTCGCTCTTTCCTGACCATTTTGTGTAATCTCACAAAGGACTAATTTTCTCATAGGGCTTTTATAACACTGTTGAGGCATTGAACCTCTTCACATCTAACACTTTATGATGATTATTTGACACCATAGGACTCAAACCTATTCTATCACATTGAGGATAGAACCTCTGAACAATTTTTCACACCAAAGGACTCAAACCTATTTTATCACACTTTACAATCTCGTCATATTGAGGACTCAAACCACTGAACAAGTTTATAAAACATTTTTTCTCACATTATAGGACTCAACCCTATCTATTGTAATGTCGTACCCATTAAAAGACCCTACGCCCAATCTTGTTAAACCCACTCTCCTTCTCCTCTGTTGTTTTCTACTCATTACTCTGAACAAACCCTGTTTAGAATCATAGAACCATGTCATTGTCTAATTTGATATTTCTCCTTACATCTATTTACGTAATTGAATACCACTCATCTGTTCCCCTCAAAAAATATTGAATTTTAAACGTTCGTTACAGCTCAGCTTTACCGCAGATAAGCAGAATTTAACCTAATCATTGATTAATACACTAATTGAGTACTTCAGGATGTAAGAGAATAATTAAACACTTAGATGGAGAGTTGATTCATAGTTTATTGAATATTTACAGTACTGGATTCGTATGACAAGCGGTACGGGCGTAGCCTATTGTCATCAGTATGACTTACATAGAAAACCTCTCAGCGGGGGTCCAGGCTGTGCCCAGGCAGTTGATTGACTAGGACAGGTAGCTGGAGGGTTATCCACAGCCATGGAGGGAACACCCAAGTCCCCGGCAGAAGACAGTAGGTACAAGGGCTGAAAGCGATTTTAATGTCTTAAGTCCTGACACTGGGGAAGAAGGCAGGCATGCCGAGAATGATTATTCTCCTTCTTTCTAGGTCCTAATCTATGGATTTCACATGACTTGGCAGGGGTGCAGCCATAGGTGGGCCTAGGATGGCATAGGCCCACCCACTTGGTAGCCAGGCCCACCCACTGGGGAGCCAGGCCCAGCCAATCAGATTGAGTTTTTCCCCACAAAAGGGCTTTACTACAGACAGAAATACTTCTCAGCACCCCCCCACCCCCCCTCAGATGATCCCACAGGTGAAGAAGCCGGATGTGGAGGTCCTGGGCTGGCATGGTTACACGTGATCTGCGGTTGTGAGGCCGGTTGGACATACTGCTAAATTCTCTAAAATGACGTTGGAGGCAGCTTATGGTAGAGAAATGAACATTCAATTCTCTGGCAACAGCTCTGGTGGATATTTCTGCAGTGAGCATGCCAATTGCATGCTCCCTCAAAACTTGAGACATCTGTGTCCCCAGCACAAGGTGTACCTGTGTAATGATCATGCTGTTTAATCAGCTTCTTGATATGTCACACCTGTCAGGTGGATGGATTATCTTGGCAAAGGAGAAATGCTCACTAACAGGGATGTAAACAAATGTGCATAATATTTGAGAGAAATAAGCTTTTTGTGTGTTTGAAAATATCTGCACATTTTTATTTCAGCTCATGAAACATGGGACCAACACTTTACATGTTGCGTTTATATTTTTATTCAGTGGAAATTCTACTTTAACAATGAGGAGCGACAAGGTCAATCACCAATCAGGATATTACTTTATTCAAAACGTATTAATAAGGGAGCAGGTCACACCAAGTGAATAGAGTGAGTGCTCTGCAATAATGAGGCTGACATACAGAGATAAATAGACGTCTTATATAGTGGACCTAAAAATGCTTAGTCCTGGCTGGTTCCACCCCTCCACGTCAGCTCGGAAGAAAACAAGCTACCTTGTTTTCTTCTCGTGGCTGTGTGAATTGGTTCATAGTGAACAAACCAGATCTGTTACTCCTCTCTGTTCAAGCCAGCCTCTGTGCACCTCATATCTCCACACAGCTGTGCCCTTGAAAGATATGAGAAGAAACAGGATGGGCTGAGACACTGTGGTCACTTCTCAGAGGCTCTTTGTCTTGTGCCGTGTGACCAAGTTACTCTGAAGCAAAGATGATACAAAACAACAACAGGTTGTTCTGTCCCTCAAGTTTTATCTCTATCCCGAGTCGCAAGTTATCTCTGAGTCGCCCCATGTCCTTGACGATACACACAGACCAGCTGCAGGGAGCAGAGAGTGGAACCATCCCTTCTCAGAAGGTAATTTTTACTCTCACATTCCCCTCTCAAGAAACTCAGTTTCTTCTATAAAAATTAAAGGGTTCAAGCATTACATAATTATTGTTAAGCATAGATTAAAATAGACAATACATCCTTCTGGTGCCTGACATTTTATCCATGGTAAACAACCTTCCTTTGAGTTGCTGAGTTAATACCTTATTTATCAAAACCCAGTCAATCTGGAAAATAATAGAAACCATAAAATTAACATCACATACAAGCTTCATTACAGCAAAAAGGACAATCATCACGTTTAGAATCCTTCCGACACCAGTGACAGGGACCCCTCTCTGGGCACTTGGTACACACAGTGTGGAACATGAGCTCTACATCTGTGTCCTTATCCTCAGGATTGGGGTCCTCGTCATCAGAGTGGCGCAGTGGTCTAAGGCACTGCATCGCAGTGCTAGCTGTGCCACTAGAGATCCTGGTTCGAATCCAGGCTCTGTCGTAGCCGGCCGCGACCGGGAGACCCATGGGGCGGCGCACAATTGGCCCAGCGTCGTCCAGGGTAGGGGAGGGAATGGCTGGCAGGGATGTAGCTCAGTTGGTAGAGCATGGCGTTTGCAACGCCAGGGTTGTGGGTTCGATTCCCACGGGGGGCCAGTATGAAAAAATAATTTTAAAAAATAATGTATGCACTCACTAACTGTAAGTCGCTCTGGATAAGAGCGTCTGCTAAATGACTAAAATGTAAATGTAAATGTAAATCAGAGATCTAGTCAGGAATAGGGAATAGGTCAGGGAAATCATTCAGTTTCCAAATCATAATTAAAACCCTCAATTTAGCACACATCGGCACTAGCAGAATTTTACATTAACATTAACATACAGTATAATTATCCATAAATCTACATTAACTTTCTCATCACGGTGATAATTACAGATCAGTATCTCAATGCATTCTTAGTCTTAATTGCTATACATTTTACAGCGTGTAGACCTCTACAATCAACTTGATACCCCAATATGGGCACGGTTGACCAACCCCCTCCCTCCCCGGCACTCAATCTTCTGGCGTTTCTTCATTTTCTTCTTCAGATAGCTTCACAGTTCGTCTTCCCAATGGCACAAATGTTCAAAGTGGATGGCCCATGATAATGTCTCTCACCTGAGCCACCACTGTCCTTTTCAGTCCATTATGTCTTGTCCATTTGCCAACCAGTATACCAGCAACATGAGAAAAGTTTGGAACCGATCTCTCTCCATGCTCACTCCACGTGGACTCATGTCGCTCTCCTGAGAGAAAAGGCATGAGAGAACAGGTTGTTGATAGCTTCAACTGGATACTGTGTACAGGTTGCTGGCTCGGACTCAGGCCTCACGGTAGAAGTGGTGAAAGACCATACTGAACGCCATTTTCACCTCTTCAGAGGGGGTTGAGGTCCACACTGTTTGGTCAAATTGTCCCTTTCATGCATCTAGATTCCATCTGTGGTCACTGTCACCATAACCTCAAGAGAGGACAAATCAGAACAACAGTTTATTTCTGATTCAAGAAATCCAGACAAATTATTTACTGTATGACAATTTACTTTTTTTTGCCCCTTTTTCGTGGTATCCAATTGGTAGTAGTTACAGTCTTGACCTATCACTGCAACTCCCGTACGGGCTCGGGAGAGGCGAATGTCAAGAGCCGTGCATCCTCCGAAACACAACCCTGCCAGGCCGCACTGCTTCTTGACACAATGCCCGCTTAACCCGGAAGCCAGCTGCACCAATGTGTTGGAGGAAATACCGTACACCTGGCGACCGTGTCAGCGTGCACTGCGCCTGGCCCGCCACAGGAGTCGCTAGTGCGCGATGGGACAAGAATACCCCTGCCGGCCAAACCCTCCCCTAACCTGGACGACACTGGGCCAATTGTGTGCTGCCCAATGGGTCTACCGGTCGCAGCCGGCTGCGACAGAGCCTGGACTCGAACTAGGATCTCTTGTGGCACAGCTAGCACTGCGATCCAGTGCCGTAGACCATTGCGCCACTCGGGAGGTCCTCTCCCAATATTCTTAATACACATTTCTAAGACATGTTTAAAAATAATACAATTTTGTTGAAACCATTTTTTTTCTCAAATTGGCTTATACTCCATCATATCGTCGACCTCACCGCAGAGTTACAGGGTCAGGGAGTCAGAGGGCTAATCCTTCGGGAGAAATCTCGACCATCCAGCAGACCAAATCTTGTGAGATTTATATTAAAGTAAGACAGAAACAGAACAAACGAAACAAGCAGCCATACACTTCTGCATATATCATTTCATACATATCATTTGATACCCTTCTTCCTTTTACAGGCAGGCATGTGAACAAAATCAATTCTGTCAAAAAGGTTAGTCATTCACACTTATTCTCTCATACATGCATGTTCTATTTAACCTTGTATTGAAACCTCAGCTTATACAAATTACTAAAATATTACATTAATTAGAGTGCTATCCAAAACCCACTAACAACATATTACCATTCACATACTGTCAACACGCATTAGATTCTACATCAACCCTCTTTATCAATGTCTTTGTAACTGTCACTTATCGTAAGGTTTAGAAAACAAAACAAAACAAATATGAGAATTCTCTCCTTATTAGAAGGCATTGTTTTCATTGTAGTCTACCCTAACAATGTTACTTAATATTTTTTATTACCATCCCCTATTGAACATTCACTTTCTCCTTCACACTTTTTAAAATGTCTATTATTTTAAGATTAACATGTAATGTGCCGAATTTATAAAATACATAGGGAAAATTCAGAAGGGAAAATATGAACTTTGGAGGGAGCCCACTCTCCAAGGCAGCTCTCAAGACCAGGTTTCTTTCTGATTATGGTCTTTCATTGTCCATCCATCCCCAGTAGATAGCGCTCTCCGTCCATAATAAGTCTGGCGCCTGACGGCGTAGACAGGAAAACAGACACTTTCCCTTTTGCCTACTCACAAATTGGTTTAGAACATCAACGTTTGCAATATCAACAAAAACTTATTGCCTTAAGTTTAAAAACAAATCTCTACATGTTCAACATTTCAATGGTTCTATTTAACAGGGCATAGGTTTTGTTTCAAAATGTATTACCAAGACGGAGGAAATCCCACAAGCATTTCTTTCTCTGAGACTCTATTTCCCAGATCCTCTAGACAGTAATATACAATGCAAAACCTTATTTTTATCGAATGATCCATAAAGGGACCAAGTCAGAATACTTTTCTCACCCCTTACGTACGTCTACGTTTGGGTGTGCAAGTTTGTATATTATTCATCAAATCTCCAGTAATCGATTATACACACATACAGTTGCTAATTTCTTCCCTGTATCTTCACAGATTCCATATATAACGTTTTAAATCTTAGCTACTCACGTCAACACCACTCCATGTGCATGCCAACAACTCTCTGCTGCTACAAAGCCACATTGCAACATTGCTCTCCCCCGGAACCCAAATACTTTGGTTTCCCGTACCGTGCCCGTTAATCGGAATAATGCGCCACACGTATCCACTCAACAGGAACACCGGTACAGTGTAACCTCCCAGAAATGCCTATAGGCTTGCTGCTACTTTCTATACATATAAAATAACACCCCATGATATTACTAGTAGTCCCAGACTATGATGGGTAGTGGTGTACGGAACCTCAAGATAACCGTTATATATAGAAACGTATTATCCAAATACAGTATTCAACTCTCACTTCTCTATGTTCACTACTCATAGCTCTCAGGCTACATAGACATTTATCCTATTCCTACAAACAGTACTGCCAACACCAAATCCCCTCTATGGGATTTAGGATCATTGTCACTACTTTTATTTTCACTATAAATTCATTTTTAAATTGACTTACTGAAATTCAGTGGGTTGTAAATTGACTCACTGAAATTCAGTGGGTTATCCTGTTTAGATCCGTGAATGTGGTGTGTTCCCCCAGGCAGTCATCAGTGGAGGTCTGGTCAGGGCGTGTCCACGCCGTCTTTGGTCGGATAGGAATTTCCCTCACTCTCCCACGGAGAGTGCAACCGGTGTCTCCTTCGCAGACCTTCACTGATTTCTCCCCAGACAGAATCACACATCCTTTTTCGTGACGCCATTAAACTCGGTTCACCTGCATCACACTATGCGGTAGAGCATCCCACTACTGACACCAATCCCATCTTGAGTTCCTATCTCACTCACACACACTCAGAAAGAAACCCCCCCCCAGTTATAACAGGAAATCCTTAGGGGGGTTTCTAAGTGGGTGTTGTCTTAACCACTGGGGAGCAACTGTTTCTCCCTCAAAATATTGCTCTTTTAATTTCTGCATTGGCGGGTTTTTGTGCCCTGATTCTATTTCACCCTACACTAACAATCATGGTCGGAATGTATGTCTACCTGATTCCCACATTCTGAGCGCCCACTGATAAATTTGGAACCTTCTTTAATGTAATGCTAGCCTAACTTTATAGTCTGTAATTTCAACCTCAGGGTTTGTCCCTGGTATAATACACCTACACCTCACTATAGTCAACCATGGCATTACCTCATTTCTATTTAACTCTAACTGATCTATTAGGGCTATCTGTTGGCTGTGGACCTCAATTCTACAAAAATATTTTCTTATTTCTAAAATGGGATTTTGTTTAAAACAATCACAGGTGCACCTTACTATTTTATACCATATCACTGTAATCTCTACATTTCTATAGCGCTCTTCTCAGTCAATACAGGGCTGTGGCCCACACAGGGCTTTTTGCTTTAAAGTCTTAACTAGTTCACAAAGATTCTGGATGCTAACATTAGATGTCAGTACTGCTCTCTCAAAACACACTTAACCAATTAGTTATTTTCTACAATACATATACACTACCGTTCAAAAGTTTGGGGTCACTGCAGAGTTGCAAAGAAAAAGTCCAGTGTCTGTGTTCTTTTGCCCATCTTAATCTTTTATTTTTATTGGCCAGTCTGAGATATGGCTTTTTCTTTGCAACTCTGCCTAGGTCAGCATCCCAGAGTTGCCTCTTCACTGTTGACGTTGAGACTGGTGTTTTGCGGGTACTATTTAATGAAGCTGCCAGTTGAGGACCTGTGAGGCATCTGTTTCTCAAACTAGACACTCTAATGTATTTGTCCTCTTGCTCAGTTGTGCACCACGGCCTCCCACTCCTCTTTCTATTCTGGTTAGAGCCAGGTTGCGCTGTTCTGTGAAGGGAGTAGTACACAGCATTGTACGAGATCTTCAGTTTCTTGGCAATTTCTCGCATGGAATAGCCTTCATTTCTCAGAACAAGAATAGACTGATGAGTTTCAGAGGAAAGTTATTTTTTTCTGGCCATTTTGAGCCTGTAATCAAACCCACAAGTGCTGATGCTCCAGATACTCAGCTAGTCTCAAGAAGGCCAGTTTTATTGCTTCTTTAATCAGCACAACAGGTTTCAGCTGTGCTAACATAATTGCAAAATGGTTTTCTAATCAATTAGCCTTTAAAATGATAAACTTGGATTAGCAAACACAACGTGCCATTGGAACACATGACTGATGGTTGCTAAAAATGGGCCTCTGTACGCCTATGTAGATATTCCATAAAAAATCAGCCGTTTCCTGCTACAATAGCCATTTACGATATTAATGTATTTCTGATCAATTTGATGTTATTTTAATGGACAAAAAAATTGCTTTTCTTTCAAAAACAAGGACATTTCTAAGTGACCCCAAACTTTTGAACGGTAGTGTATATACAGTTGAAATTGAAAGTTTACATACACTTAAATAATTCCAGCATCCGAACAATGCATTGTGCACCCGCCAACTTTCCTTCAATTCGTAAGAAGTGGCTGAAACTACTGCATCACCGGAGCAAGCATCCAAGTGACCGAAACAGCGCCCCTCTGTCTTACTATACAGTTGAAGTCGGAAGTTTACATACACTTAGGTTGGAGACATTAAAACTAGTTTTTCAACCACTCCACAAATTTCTTGTTAGTCGGTTAGGAAATCTACGTTGTGCATGACACAAGTAATTGTTTACAGACAGATTATTTCACTTAAAATTCACTGTATCACAATTCCAGTGGGTCAGAAGTTTACATACACTAAGCTGACTGTGCCTTTAAACAGCTTGGACAATTCCATAAAATGATGTCATGGCTTTAGAATTTTCTGATAGGCTAATTGACATAATTTGAGTCAATTGGCGGTGTACCTGTGGAAGTATTTCAAGGCCTAACTTCAAACTCAGTGCCTCTTTGTTTGACATCATGGGAAAATCAAAAGAAATCAGCCAAGAACTCAGAAAAATAATTGTAGACCTCCACAAGTCTGATTCATCCTTGGGAGCAATTTCCAAATGCCTGAAGGTACCACGTTCATCTGTACAAACAATAGTACGCAAGTATAAACACCATGGGACCACACAGCCATCATACTGCTCAGGAAGGAGACTCGTTCTGTCTCCTAGTGTCACGGATTCAGCCGAGGCTGCCCCTCCTCCTTGCTCGGGCAGGCTTCGGCGTTCGTCATCACCGGAATACTAGCTGCTACCGATCCATGTGTCTATGTTCGACTTGTTTTGTCGTAAGTGGTCACACCTGTTTCCCATCATGTAGTTATGTCTTCCCTATTTAACCCTCTGTCTCACACTGTCTCACACTGTGTGTTGTGCGTGTTTGTATTAGTCTTGGTTGTCATTAGTGTGCGGGATTGTTCCCTCCCTGCGTGGAGGTTTGCTGTTCATTCTTTTACCTTCAAGTAAAGTACGCTTTTGATTAGCTCTGTGTCCTGCGCCTGACTTCGCCTACCGCATTACACTGACGCCTTGACAGAAACACACACCATAACAGGAGTCAGCAGGAACAGCTGTGCCACCCGGATCGATGGAGGAACGCGTCCAACAACAAGCGGCCATGATCCAGGCTCTCGGCACAGCTATGGAACGAGAAGTAA